GGTCATTGTGATATTTATTTCAAAATAAATATTGCATATAAATAAAACAACCCAGAATTTTTACACATTTATTTTTTAATGAGTATATTAAAATATATTGATAAATATTATTTTTATTAATTTTATAGATTACAAAACATCTTCAAAATGGATCCTAAAAAACCTGGTAAAGGCCGTGGGTCTTTCCTATTGGAAATGATGAAAAAAGCTCAGCAGGAACGTTCTCATTCTGAAGAAATGCCTAGTAGTTCATCAGAACAGATATCAAGATCATCCGAAGGATATTCTTCAGCTCCAAGTACAAATCTTAGCTCTGGTTCAGGAAGTTCTAGTGGAGGTCGTGGACGTGCTCAATTAGTTAGTTTGTTAAAGTCAATAAATAGCACTGATTCGGAATCTAGAACTTCTTCTTCATCAGCAACAGCAAGAGTAGGTCATGGTCGAGGTAATATCTTGGACGTAGCGAGAAGGCTTGGGTGAGTGACAAATTTTATATTTTCTAAATTACATTTACGTATGCATATCTAAATGCTGTGTTTTTCCAGTTCCGCTAAACCAGAGACATCTGTACAAAAAAGTATTGAAACGGGGGATTCCACGAGAGTTTTAAGAAAATTGGCTGATGTTTCTGTATATGATACTCCATCCACATCTGATGTACAGTCTGCCCAGGACACCGTAATATGTCGACAAGGCAAAAGTGGAGAAAAGTAATTTACATTTTAAGAATGCATGTTCATGCTCTCGATCTGTATAACTTTTTGTTAAACTTTTTGTTATTTGAACTAGTTATACAGTTATACAATATAACTGAATTCTAAAAAATATGTAATCTCTGTCTATATGACATATTCGTCCAATCTTTCTAAAATAAAAATGAATCCATGTCAAAAAGTTATCACGTAGGAAAGAAATGAATGTATTAATATAATTTAATAACGCTAAATATGTCTTCCTTTGTAGAATACAAATGTTCTCCAATTATATAGATCTGAAATTGGAGCCTGGGAAAGGTCTATTTCAGTATGAAGTGAAATTTTCACCGGAAATAGATTCAATAGGATTACGTCGCAAATTACTTAATCAACATTCTGCCACTTTAGGACGCACAAAAACATTTGATGGAATGTTACTTTATTTACCAACAAAATTGCCGGAAGATGTAAGTTAAAGTTTCTTGATGAAAGTACTATATGAATAAATTATACGTGCGCAAAATATTGTTTTTGTGAAATCAAATTTTCAGATTACTCGTTATGAATCGGAACATCCAATGGACGGTTCAAAAATAACCCTTACAATTATTTATAAGAAAAAACAATCAATGAGTGATAATGTTCAATTTTTCAATATTTTGTTCAATCGTATTTTACGTGCACTTAGTTTAGTTCGTATTGGTCGACAAAACTTCAATCCAAATTGCGCGCACACGTTGCATCAACATCGATTAGAGGTGTGGCCTGGTTATGTGACCGCCATAAATGAATATGAAGGTGGATTAAAATTATGTTTAGATGCTAAACATCGAGTGATGCGAACAGAAACTGTACGAGATTTAATGTAAGACTTCTTTTCAATATTATAGGATTATAGGATATATATTATAGGATTTCTATATTTTTTTGGAAATTTTTGGAGAATTTATTTTATAAGATTTGACTGTATTACATTGTATTATGAGATTAAGATTAAATTATTTGTAATCGAATTTATTTCTTTCAATTTGCAGAACTGAGATTTTTCGTAAAGGACAATATAATTATAGAGATAATGTAATAAGAGAGATAGTTGGTACGAGTGTACTGACACGATATAATAATAAAACATATCGTATAGATGATATCGCATGGGATAAAACACCAAGATATGTGTTTACTAGAGGTGATGAAGAAATGTCTTTGATTGATTATTACAAAATGCAGTGGAATATTGACATAAAAGACAAAGATCAACCGCTTTTAGTACATCGTGCTACAAAAAGATCATCAACTGGCGAGGTTCGTGGTTTCATGATATTCATGCGTATTAAAATTGATATATTATTGATGCATGTCATTTGAAATTCGTTATTGCCACAAAAAATCGTTTAAATATATTAGAAGGAGGAAAAAACAATTCTTCTGGTGCCCGAATTAAGCTATGCAGCAGGTCTGACTGATAATATTCGAAATAATTATACTATCATGAAAGATTTAAACGGAGTTACGAAAATGTCCCCTAATCAACGACGAGAAGTAATTATACGATTTCTAGAAGAGATAGAAAATAACAAAGTAACTCGGGAATTGTTATCGGAATGGGGTTTACATTTGAATAGTGAAATAGTTCAGTTTACTGGAAGATGTCTCGGAGACGAAACTATCATTTTTGGAAATAATAGAACAACAAATGATCCACATTTGAAAAAAGATCTCAGACCTGGAGATTGGAGTTCTTTAGCAGTAAGAAATCCCATGTTACGCACTGTAAGTATATCAAACGATTAATTACTTAAAAATTGAAAAACGAATAGAATAATCTTATAAGAATATTTTTACCTTGTATTTTAGCCTAATTTGAACAATTGGCATATCTTGTACTTTATAAAAGATAAAACTTGTGTTGAAGATTTTTTAAATACTCTGGAAAAAATTGTAACAGCGATCAATATGAAAATTAAAGAACCACGAAAAATTAGTTTAAAAGACGACAGAACTGAGACTTATCTGAAAGAAATTCAAAATAGCATTAGCAGTAATATCGAATTAGTAGTTATCGTATTTCCAACGAATCGTACTGATCGTTATTCCGCGATAAAGAAGTAAGTCGGCCTTTCTTTTTTCTTTTGTCAATTTAATGATTACATTTTTTTATACAGAAATATAATGTATAACAATATACAAAATACATACCAGGTGTATGCATAAGTTTTTCCGGTTTAACTAAGAGATGTCACCAGCGAAAAGTACGCAGCGTATTAATTTGACACATACATCATTTTGTTCGTCTGACATTTAAAACTACAAACACACACAAGTTGAGTCCGCCAAAAACTAGCGTCTTTGTTTTATCGTTCAGTGATCATGTCGAGTTTTGTGTCTGAAAAAGAACATTTGCGGCACGCATTGCTTTTTTTATTTAATCAAAAGAAAAAGGCTGTTGAAAGTCATCGTTTGCTGGTAGAAACATATGGTGAATACGCTCCATCGATTAGAACATGTGAGACATGGTTTCGACAATTTAAAAGTTGTGATTTCAATGTGAAAGACAGTGAGCGCTCTGGTAGACCACA